GAAAAATTTTGGTCGTTTTTGTGCGCTTGTGTAAGAATCCTAAGTGAAGGCAGGGTCTCTTGACCTCCTGAATTAATATTGTGAGCCAATTTAATCAATCAATAAATTACCAAACCATGTACTGTTTCTTCGTGCCCCTGCAGAAAACACAGCACATAATCATAAACAGGGTTCCGTTACAAGCATCCTTTATTTCATGCATTATTCCTAACTGCGGCAATTTATTACGTCTCTGTCAGATTATGCGATGTTGTTTGATGATCACGAGAAATTTGGCATGACTGAGATAAAAAAGCATTTTTGGCCAAACCTGTTATGTGAAAGCGTTGTGCAACTGTCATGATAGTTTAAGCAAGTTAAATTGGACGTGAAGGTGAAAGAGCTGACGATGAAAGAGCTATCGTTTGACTGAAATAAACGGAATACGGAACACGCCAATATCACATCGATCACTCACGAAACCAGAAACCAGTAGGAATGCTTTTTTATGCCTAACAAAACGTAGTGGATGGGGCGGGAAGGGTATTATCAATTGAACAAAGAATTCTATAGCTTAAATGACTTACTTGACACGCACTTTAGACGAGGACTTAGGAAGTGTTCAATCACTTAAACAGGTTTGTTAATGATGACAATCCTATCAAATGCGAATGACCCTGTAACCTGGTCACACTAAGTGACATGGCTCTGCAATACAATTAAATCATCTCGCAAGTTGGTTGTTCACAAGTCTGATCTCCATTGAAGGAATTGCAAATAAATACTGTAAAACCCTTTCTTTTGTCTATCACTTCGTTTATATGACCGCACCTTGTTATTTCAGTCACTACTGGTTTGACTGGGTTTGACTCGTTGGAGAGAATTAAGTGGCACGTTAATGGACGGACAATAGAGGTTCCACTGTAAATTAATCATCTATCTATTTTACTATCTAACGAGCTATACCTCCACTGAATTTATTACAAATGAGACAATAGAGTCCCTACTCTTATTTTTTTCGTGACGTTCCTTTAGTAGCCCTCTTTGCTTTCAGCCACATTCCTGCTTTGGTGTGATAATAATGGTAAACA